GCTGTGTTTCCTGATAATATGGCCTGAAGGGAGCATGAATAAGGTGAAGAGAATTGGACCTAACACAGAGGTTTGTGGAACGCCATGACTAACTTCAGTTCGTACATAAGATTCGTCATTAACATGAACAAACTGGAATCTTTCTGAAAAATAAGATTATAACCAATTTAGCGTGGTTCCTTTAATCCCAATAATATGTTCAAGTCTCTGTAGTAAAATGCTGTGATCAATGGTGTCAAAAGCAGCACTGAGATCTAAGAGGACAAGTATGGAGACAAGTCCTTTATCTGAGGCTAGGAGGAGATTGTTGGTGACTTTCACCAATACAGTTTCTGTACTATGATGGACTCTAAATCCTGACTGAAAATCCTCAAACAAATCATTCTTGTGCACGTGGTCACATAACTGCTTTGCAACAGTTTTTCAAGGATTTTAGAAAAAAATGGGAGATTGAATATTGGTCTATAATTACCTAAAACACCTGGGTCAAGAATAGGCTTTTTGAGTAGAGGTTTAATTACAGCAACCTTAAAACCCTGTGGAACATAACCTGTTAATAGAGAGAGGTTAATCAGATCTAATATGAATCACGGCGACGAGCAATGCAGTGATTAGCACTGTCACAGCAAGAAGGTTCTGGTTTTGAGCCCCGGCCTTTTTGTGCGGAGTTTGCATGTTCTCCCTGTGCCTGCGTAGGTTTTCTCTGGGTGCTCCAGCTTCCTCCCACAATCCAAAGAAGGCAAGCTTAGGTTGACTGGTGACTCTAAAATTAGACATTACCCGGAAGGGCGTCTGGCATAAAAAATAAAAAAAAAACAAAAAAAAACATGCCGACTTTAACATGCGAATTGTCAGTTGGGTAGCAACTGATGATTATCTGTGGAAACCCCTAACGGGAACAGCCAAAGGTAGAAGAAGAATTAAATCCAATACAGATGTGCTGATTAAGGGCAAGATGATTTAGATGAAACAATTGTTGAGGTCAACTCAGAGAGATCAATGGGAGAGAAGCAGTCTAAATATAGATGTGGTCTTACAGGTGATTCTAAAGCCCTTGTACATGATGGCACATCTGTGAGAGTTGTGGGAATGATTTGATTAATTTTTTTCTCTAATAGTTGTGACTTTATTTGTGCAGAAACTCATGAGGTCATTGCTGCTGAGATCCAAGGGAATATTAAGCTCAACAGCACTGTGTCTCTTTGTCAGCCTGGCTACAGTGCTGAAAAGAAACCTGGGGTTGTTCTTATTTTCCTCTATCAGTAATGAATAACATGCGGTTCTGGCACTATGAAGGGCTTTTTTATATGTTATTAAACTATTTTTCCAGGCTAGGAAAAACTCATCTGACTTAGTAGAGCGTCACCTCCTTTCCAGTTTTCGTGATGCCTGCTTTAGGGGGTGGAGCTGCGAGTTGTACCATGGGGCTAGTCTCCTCTTCTTCACTGGCTTCTTTTTCAGAGGGGCAACAGTATCAAGTGTTGTACACAAGGAGGCTGCATTAATATCAACAAGATCATCGACTTGTGTGGGAGTAAAGTTAAGGTGGCCGCCCTTCATTGTGTTGGCACATGGCACTGAAGTAAATAATGATGGAATTATTTCCTTAAATTAGGTGATAGCATTGTCAGATAGACATCTACTGTAGTGGAATTGTTTCTCACACAGAGTATAATCCATTAATGTAAATTCAAAAGTTATTAGACAGAAGAGGGTTTTGAGGAAAAAATATTAAGTGTTCAGTTTTGATGCTATACGTCAGAACAAGATCAAGAGTGTGATTAAAACAGTGAGTGGGTTTATTCACAGTTTGAGAAAAGCCAACTGAGTCTAATAATGAACAGAATTCATTGTCGGCATCTACATGAATATTAAAGTCGCCTACTATGATTATTTTATCTGTACTAAGCACTAAATCAGACAGAAAGTCTGAGAATTCAATTAAAAACTCTGAATAAGGAGCAGGTGGACGGTATACAATAACAAACAGAACAGGCTTTTGAGTTTTCCAGTTTGGGTGTGAGAGACTCAGAGTGAGACTTTCAAATGAGTTATAACTATGTTTAGGTCTAGGGTTGATTAATAGGCTTGAGTCTAAGATCACTGCCACGCCACCACCTCAGCCTGTGTTTCGAGGGATGTGACTGTGACTAGGTGGGGTGGATTCATTTAGACTGACATATTCTTCCTGTTTTAACCAGGTTTCAGTAAGACACAATAAATGTTCACTTATTAACTTTTTCACTAACAGATATTTGGACAAGAGAGATCTGGTATTTAGTAGTCCACATTTGATTGTCCTGTTATCTTGTTCTATATGTGGAGTACAACTTGAGTTCCATTGTCACTATATAGCTTTTCAAATATTTCATATCTGGGGATTATGAGTTGTGGGAAACACTTCAATATGTCTATTATTACCAGGCAAAATTTCTTTCCCTCACCTTTATTTAAATTTATGAAGTCCATGCAGATGTGTTGAAATGGGAGTTGTGGTACTAAGCACTAAATCAGACAAAGTCTTAGTACAATAACAAACAGAACAGGCTTTTGAGTTTTCCAGTTTGGGTGTGAGAGACTCAGAGTGAGACTTTCAAATGAGTTATAACTATGTTTAGGTCTAGGGTTGATTAATAGGCTTGAGTCTAAGATCACTGCCACGCCACCACCTCAGCCTGTGTTTCGAGGGATGTGACTGTGACTAGGTGGGGTGGATTCATTTAGACTGACATATTCTTCCTGTTTTAACCAGGTTTCAGTAAGACACAATAAATGTTCACTTATTAACTCTTTCACTAACAGATATTTGGACAAGAGAGATCTGGTATTTAGTAGTCCACATTTGATTGTCCTGTTATCTTGTTCTATATGTGGAGTAACCTTAATTTTAATTAGGTTCTTATGAATAACTCCTCGAGGTGATTTTTAATTTATATCATTTAGGTTGTCGGGGAGCAGACACAATCTCTATGGATTACTGGGAGTTTTGAATGGATAGCAGCTGCAAAGAGACGCAGAGAGGCATGTAAGACCCTGTGTCCTGGACTCTACTCTGGGTTGTCATAATTTAGGTTGTAAAATAAACTTGTCCAGATTTCTACATATGAGAGTGGCACCATCCAAAGTGGGATGGATGCCGTCTCAGCTAATCAAACCAGATTTTGAACCATGGTGAAGACCAAAGACCTGGTGGTGGATTTCCACAGGTGCAGACACCAGATTTTCCCCCAAAATGTTTTCCAATTGTCTATGAAGCCTACATCATTTTCTGGGCACCACCTAGACAACCAGCAGTTGAATGACAACATGGGGCTAAACATGTCATCACTGGTCAGATTGGGTAGGGGTCCAGAGAAAACTACGGAGTCCGACATTGTTTTGGCAAAGTTACTGACTCAATATTAATTTTAGTGACCTCCGACTGTTGAAGTTGGGAGTCCTTACCTCCGACCTGAATAACAATCTTACTGTATTTACGTTTATCCCTGAGCACTCGGTTTCCATTGACAATGAATGGGCAGCTGTCACTAACCCATTAACATTGGTTAATAATCTTTTAGAAATATTCCTGTATGCAAAATATGATATGGATCAGAACCAAAATCTGATAAATTTGTCTGTGCACAATACCCTACCTCTCCAAAAAAAAAAAAAAAAAATCAGAAAAATCTGTTGTTTTTTTAAAGTTATGCTGTTAAACACCAGCAAAAACATAACCCCCACCCTTGGTCAAGGTAGTTAAGATTATTAACATAACCTATCCATTTTCTATTTGTAACACCCAGAGTCCATCATCACATCACCAGAATTAGACTAGTACTGGTCATCCTCAGGTTCATTAATGGTGGAGGGAGTTACACAGGCAGCTAATCTACAGAGGGGACAATACAACTAAACAGTGTCTGAGAGGTGATTATTTTAGGAAGGTCTTCTAGGAATAGATGAATAGTGAGTTATTAAATACATAATTACATGTCATGACTTTAAATATAGACATCACAAATACTAGGAGGAAGTCCCATCTCAAAAAAGTGATGTGTTGTAGCCTGTAACCTTTTTTAACAGTGAAGCTCAGGTAACTAATGTTATCATTACTAATAATAGCTATAAATATTTCACATAATGCAGGCCATCTTTCATCACTGGGGAAGTGTATTGTCCAGGTTGATAGCTGTCATAAATGCTTCTCATGAGAATAATTTGCATGATATTTTTACCTCATTTTTCCACTGTGTGGGAGCAGGCACAGTAGTCACTCTGACAAGTCAGATATAAAAAAAATAAAACTTGTTTTTGGTAACAGTTTGCTTATTTAGCTAATCTTACCATTTATTATGAAAACAAAAAAGTCACTCCTTTTTCACACCTACAAAAAAAAAAATATCCCCTTTGTTTTTCCAAATTGAATGAAAAAAACTGAATGACTGGATGATACACAGGCCCAAATTTTGGACTATTTGAGCTACTGTATTTGTTAGATGTTAGTATTAAACTATTAATATTTGTTTGAAATGCTTGATTAATTTAGATTTATTTTGTATTTTTATTTCTTTATGATGTCTTTATTAGTTATTTAGTTTCTTCTTCCCATTAGGGGTTGCCACTCAACTGACAATTTGTAGGTTAAACTTGGCATGTTTTACGCTGGATGCCCTTCTGAATGAAGTCTAATTTAGAGTTGCCAATGAACCTATGTGTTATGAACACAAACCCAGATGGTGTGACAGAGAAAACGGACTCAGAGGGCTGCCTTCACCCTAAGCAGTGTTTATTTTGTGCTGTACAAGGCAAGAAGTGCTATAACAATAGAGACCAGAATGGGTGTAGATGGAATGGATGTTGACCACAGAAAGGCAGGAAGAAGGTAGTTGCTGGGCCGAGCTGCGGAGCGTGGAGGTCACTCACTGGCTGGTCGAGTAGAGGTAAGTGAGGCTGAAGAGAAGGACACCAGGCAGAAGGCGACAATGAGCAGAGAGGATCAGGGGAGAGAGAGCACTGACCTGGCTGGTGAATAATAGTCCAAAGGCAGAATGGAGTAGGTCCGGAGGTAAATAGTTTCGTGTGGGAGTATGTGTCCAAGCAGGAGGGCTGAAGGCAGGAGGTGAGGAGAAGGCTAGTAGGCAAACTGAAAACAGTCAGAGAGAAAATACAAAAGAACAAAAACAGTTTCTGTATTAAAGTGAGGTGGCTCTAGTTGTCTGTGTGGGGACAAGAACAAACTGGCAGTGGGCAGGTAAAAAGGAAAGGTAAATATAGGAGATCTGGTGATTGCAGGAGTGACAACAGGTGGTGGTAATGAGGATAGCTGGCAGGTGTGTGGAGGAGAGAGGGCAGGTGAAACCGAGCAACCCTGATACTATGTCTTTGGAAACAGGAAACCAGAACACCACAGGGAGAACATGCAAGCTCTGCACAGAAAAGCACCGGGCCACAAACCCAGAACCTTCTTACTGTGGGGCAACGGTGCTAACCCCTGCACCACCCTATTAGTTATTTAGTTTATTGTGGGGTTATTTTGGAGATAAGTGGGTAGCTATATTGGCACTGTAGGCACCTTAGATTTAGAGGTACAGTAGGTAGGAAGGCAGCCATATGACCGGCATGCAACTGGGAGGGTTTATTGTTTTTTACCAGCACAAGACAAGCATTTTTGTGCCTGTTTGCAATGGACGAATAAACCCTAAGAAACACAACACACACAGTGTCATCTCACATTATCCATTGCTGACAGTTTTACCTTCATACATTATTATCCCAGTGGTGCATCAGTGGGTTTTTAAGTTTGGTGCAAGTTTAATTTTTCACCTGGACAAACAGCCACTACAGCATTGTTACAACATATCTGAAAAGCTGATCATGTTGTGTTTGCAAAGTAAAGTAATAGTCACAACTACAACAAGCAGTTTGGTGTCTCCTTTCCTGTAGTGTGATTACTGAGCTGTAGCCCTTCACATAGGCTACAGTTATTCAGGTAGCATAATTTAGAAAATGTCCCTAACACATTACATTCTAAATGCATTTTGTTGTTGTGCTTTATATAATACAACTGCAAGTGAATGACATGTAGGTTTAAACCTTGATCTTATTTAAAGAATAGCCTATCGTAGCTACAAATAAAACAAACGAATAAGAGCAGGATGGTACAGGCTATAGCCTATTAGAGGAATTTATAAATCACATTTGTGTTTTCAAAACCAAATCCTGGTAGGGTAACTAAATTTAGGTTTATACACTGTGCAGAACACAAATGTGGCTTTGCCGTGGCATACAATTTCCCCAGTCACAAGCAGGTGTCGCTGCAAGACACATGAAAGCATCCTGGTTTCACTTTCAATTGACAGAGAAACCAGAAAGCAAACAGATCTTCACACTGTCCAGAGAAACAACAACAAAGTGTTACTACAGGTTTAGAAGACCTGTGCAAAATGGAGGTAGGTTCCACTTATTCATATTTATAATGGTTTAACAAGGCTAAACGAAGAGGAAGTATTAAACCAGTGTAGGTTTTAGAGTTTTTACTAGCCCCAGCTTGTGACTCTCATGTATCGCACACACTCGAGGGTATGTGACGAGGTTTTACCACCGGGTAGTTAATCACTGATGTTGTTGTTGTCCTGAAAAATGTGTATGAAAGAGCTGCGATTTGATCTGTCATGCTTGACTGAATCCCGGAAATTAACTACTATAACGTTTGATTATCGAGGAGAAGTACGAAAAGCTTGCTAGAAAACTATGACATAAAACTTCCGGTTTGAGGGTGTGACATTCAAAATAAATCTGGCCAAATTAAAACCCTTCACGTTTCATCGTTACTTTGAAAATTTTTTGTTGCGCTCCGTGTGACAGAATTAGTATTGGAGGAAGTGCAGCGCTCATATCACAAAACGTGTTGTGTAAAGTGTAGCGTTTCCGCTGGCAACATTTCTTAGTGGCGGTCCGCCACGGCAAAAAAATAAAAAAAAATAAAAACAACAACCCCAAAACAATCCAACCCATCGGTTTTTTAATCACGCCCCTCAGAGACTCACCCGGGAACCCGGTAAACAACACGACGAGTTACAGCCACGGACGAAGTTAAGGCCAATTCTGATGGAGCGGGGAGCAGGTTCTGATGAGCCCCGAGAAGGAGATGTGATGCAATCTCCAGCTGCAGGGCAGAACGAACACCGCCTTACTGGTTGACGTATGTGATGGCTGTTGTGTTTTCTGATTGCACCACTACGTTTGCCTCTCAGTACCGGCGCAACATGTTTTGAAACTTTCAGCACCGTTGCCAATTCCAGACAGTTGATGTGGAGAGACGGGTGTGATTCCACTCTCCTCCCACCGCCTGTGACAGACATGTGCCTCCCCAGCCACCAGAGATGTGTCTGTGAACACTGAGATGGGTGATGTAGCTCTGCCCAGGGGAACTCCCGACTGTCGGCACATGGGGAGTTCTCCAGTATGCCAGGTCTAATTAGACCGAGGGGGGAACTGTGAGCATGCACCTCTTGTGATGCACCGGGTCGAGGCGAAGACAGCCGAACCACCTCTGGAGCTTCCTCATGTGAAGAAGACCGAGGGGAACCATGACATGACTGGCTGACATCATGCCCAGTAAACGCATGACAGAGTTGTTACCTTCGCATGGGGAAAATGCGCTGCAGGAGAGATGAAAGTACCTCTTGCCTGGCAGATGACAGCTTTGCTCTAATGCTAAGAAAGTCCAGGTGCGCTCCCAGGTATGTGATTGTTTGGCACTGCACTGGTGAACTCTTCTTCAGTTCACTGCAAAACCCAGCTATGTCAGGTGTTGCACCAGCACCTCTGTGTGAAAAGCTGCTTGATCTCTGGAAAATGCCATCAGAATCAGATTGTCCAGAGACCAGCGGCCGGATTTTGCAACTGAGCAAGCTCGTCTCTGCCGGCATCCATGCTGACTGATGGATCAGGGAAGGGCTGGGGGAGCAAGTGATGGCAGGGAGTGAGTCAATGGATTTGGGCCCACCCATGCCAAGGAAAACCAGGGGCTCATCCGCCAAGGGATCTTCACCGCGATTCGCCAAGCTGCTGTCATTGTCAGGATCCCGCTCTTTGATAGCTACAAACGCCTCTGCCTGGTGCTGCTTCTCCACAGTGGGCAAGCACACAGGTGCCAACTTGGTGTGCTCTGTGCCGAGGCAGATCTTGCAGCGAGGGTGCAGGTCGCTGGGCATGATGAAGCCCGTATCGCAGCCTGGACACATGGTGACGGAAGTGCGGCACTGGAGTCCGGCATTCAGGAGCTTTGCTCTTTAGCCATGATGAAGGAATTGCTCTTTAGACTGCTTAAGAAAAAGAGGGAGCCTATCACAGGTCACATTGGCATTTATGCCACCACAGCAGACCTGTTTAGGGATAGCCCAGTGCAGGGCACAGGGCGCAAAAGAATCTCTTCAGGACTGTGCATGCGCGAGGGATAAACCCAGTAGCGACAGCTCTTAGAGGGTGAAGCCTATACAAAATAGAACCAGTACAAACAGAAAAATGCAGTAAAAAATCTTGAACACCATGTATCACTTTCCTTCCACTTCACAATTATGTGATACTTTGTGTTGTACTATGACATAAAATCCCACTAAAATACATTTAAGTCTGTGGTTGTAATGTGACAAAATGTGGAAAAATTCACGGGGTATAAATACTTTTGCAAGGCACTGTTCTTGGTAATCTTTTAATCATTCAAATTTGGATGGTTGGTTAATAACACATTTTCCTGTGGTGTGACAAACTTGGAGCACAGTTATTTCTACTCTATCTAGAGCTCAGAATTAAGCAGCATTGAATGTTCAAAGTCTATCACATTACTGCAACACCATCAGAGAACAATGTTCATCCAAATTTGTAAGTAGGACTACAGTATGCGACATACTGCATTTAGACAGAGGCAGTTTGCTAATAACTAACTTCAGCTGTCATGTCTTTTTACAGTTTATCCAAGACATCACTGCTGTCATTGATGCAACTGCTTATAAAGACCTTCATATTTTAATGAAGATTCTTCAGCCTTATAGACATGAAAAAACTGGTTCCATCTACAAAGTGGGAGGAACCTATGAGGAACTGGAGCAACTTTCAGACAGGCTATCAGACTGCTGTAGTCCTGCCGCTCAGCAACGTATCTGTCTGCAAGATGAACACGCTTCAACTTGTACCAAATCTGTGGAAGTATCTGCTGATGTTATGGCCTACATTGAGCAAAAATGTACAAAGGAACTTCGGAAAATTCTAGGAAACCGTTTTGACATTGAAACACAGCCTAACCTTAGAGCAGCACATTATAATCCCAGTAGCACAGTACAAGTGATTTTAAGACCATGCAATGTGCCCTTATACCCTGTTCATGCTGACTTAGTCAGACAGCGGTTTATCACATTCTATCAGAGAACTGCCTCTGACCTGCAGGTCACATTGGTCACTGTGAGCCCACCTTACCACAAAAAACTGCAGAGGATTTTTCCATATGTCCTTTTTAAACCCAGCCACAACAAATGTGAAGTAACAGTGATTGGACCTTTTGTGCACATTGCTAAACTGAAAGATTTCCTTTTACAAAATACACTAAGTTCAAGCAAGATTCCAGTGAACAAAAGTCCAGCAGATGCTCCGAGCAGCACAACCTTAAGTTCTTCACCAAAACACAGCAAAGATAATGAAGATGAATCATGTCCAATCTGTATGGAACCAATATTAACAACAGAGAAAAAGACCCTACAGTGCAAGCACTCCTTCTGCAGAAAATGTCTGAAAAAAGCTTTTGAATACAAGCCTCTATGCCCAACATGTGGACAGTTGTATGGCATTTTGAAAGGGACACAGCCTGATGGAGGCAGAATGAATGTCACCAGAGACACTTCATCTTTGCCTGGATATGAAGAATATGGAACAATAATCATTCAGTACTACATTCCAAGTGGCATCCAAAAGGTAAGACTACAGATAAAACACTGAACAATTTAAACAGTAGTTTGATCAAATCTATGAAATACAGTCAGTACCTTCAGAAAATGACCACCACCTGGCAGAGGTAAATAATTCTTTTTCTGGTCATAATAGTTGTGATTATGTTATTATTACATTATTATCAAAAAGAATACTCTGCATTACTACAGATTGTAAGTGCTGCTACTGTTTTTTGTTTTGTCTCAGGACAGGGTTTGGATTTCCTGTACTTTATATGATTTATTTGAGTGCATAGTTTTTTCCACAGTCTTTTGTTTAAAAATCACTTTCCTCTCTTTTTCTTATAATCACTGGCATTATCCTTTTTTATTTTTATTTGGCAGGGCTGTGTTAGTATGTATTAGCACTTACCAAACCTACCTAGAGAGAAAGTTCCTTATTTCTAAATAATTAACAAAAAGTACATTAAAAAAGCTACTGTGCCCTAAGAGCTGTGGACCCTCATTCACTTAAAGGCTCCTAATCATTAAGCAGAGAAACCTATCCTGTGTGTCTGTAGGGGGAGCATCGTAACCCTGGTCAGCCATATGAAGGTGTATCCCGTACAGCTTATCTTCCAGATTCCCCAGAGGGCAGGAGGATCCTGAAACTGCTGAAGCAAGCCTTTGATCAGAAGCTCATTTTCACTGTTGGTCAGTCCACCACCAGTGGCAGGAACAATGTGGTCACATGGAATGATATTCACCACAAAACTTCTAAACATGGAGGACCAACTTGGTAAGTTATGTATAATGGTCTCCCAACTGCAGGGAGGTGAGCTCAAGTGCAAAAGATCTATTGTGATCAGAAATCAATGCATAGCCACCAAAGTGTGTGGCCAAGAGTGGGGAATTTTTTATATATATACAGTATATATAAAATTTGTAATTCCCATCTCACCATAATTATTAGGCTAAATTTATCAGGTCAATTTAATTAACACTGTACACTATTCAGTGTATCATTCTCATTCTTTTTTTTTTTTTTTTTGCTCATATAATTACTTTGAACTGCATCGGTACTGCCTGATTAGTGTACCTACTTAATGACATCACCTGTGATGTGAAATCAACTACTGTCCAAAGACTGAGGCATTTCCAGGTATTTTCAAATAGGTGTTAATTTTTTAGGCTACTATTTATTTAGAAATCTAGTGCATCATCCATAATTATTGAAATATTTTTGTTTCTGTGATTCATTTGTAGTTTAATGTTCACAGATCTGCAGGGCTGTGTATGCACATGCACGTGTGTTAATTTATTAATTTACTGCCAGTACATCTGAATAAACATGTATGTGCTGCATTGTAGGCCAGGTTTACAGTTGATGAAAATACTGTCAGTGAATCATAAAGAACTTTATGGCATTGTTAGCCTAAGTTATTTAGTTAACTTTGTTTTTCTGCTCTCATAAACGTACTGTAGTATAACAACCAAGGATATTAAAAAGGACAATTTCTGGAGGCCTGCTGACTGCAGAAATATGTACGAACTAATGAGCTAAAATAGCATTCTGGTTTAACCAGTCATAGCATGCTAGTGGCACAGCAACATCAACCAGTCGTTGCTGGTGTAGCCTGCTTCTTCAGCAGCAAGACCATGTTGGTGGACTCGCACCATTAATGTTTTATTAACATAGCTATCAACACTAGAGCAGTGCCAGCCAGCATAGACCTCCATGTTGGTCTATGCTGGCTGGTGCTAGTATAGACCAGCATGAATTCTGTGCTGGTTTATGCTGGGGTTTTTTTTTCTTTCACTATTAATGAGTGATGCCCGCCAGCAGCCACTTTAGCATATGCATAACAATTCAGGATTTTTTTACTCCATGTAAGATGAATAATGCTATTTTAATTTAAGAAAACTAGCTAATGAGAAATAGATGCATGCCACTGCACCTTAAGTGTGTCTATAGTTTTATTAGTTGAATAGGTGAATTTTTATTCTAACTCACCCTTTCAAATTATATTGAGACTAAAAGTTTTGCATAGTTAAGGGAGTGGCCACTTTGAGTGACAGGCAGATGGCTAACTTCATTTTACCCGTTCAGCCCTCCTCAGCTCCACCCACGCTCTGCCTCTTTGCCCATTTTTAGAATAGACATGGTAGGCAGAGTGAAGTGCTACCAATAATGTGACAGCCAGACTTGAACTTCAAAATCAGTGGGTAACGTCATGATGGGTTTATCCAGTTTTCATATATAGTCAGTGGCCTCCGCATGTGTGAATAAGAATACTGAGCCAGTGGAAGGGTCTGGTGCCATAAAGGCAAGGCAAGGTAAAGGTAAAGCATTATGAAGTCCTTGCAAGAGGTCCCCAGGGCGGTGATTCAGAGGTACACAGTACCATAACAGACAATCTGGGCACACAGTGGCAATACCTGAGATGTGATCCACCTTATTAGAAGTCAGTCTACCATTAAAATTATTTTCAAGCTTTTATTTTAATGTAAAAAAAGTTATGTATTGTTGCTTTAATGTACCTGCTGTCCCAATTTGTGCTTCTCATGTAATCAGTCCCTTATGCTATTAGACAAATAGCATCTAGCCAGGCTGTTCCTATTCCACTGCCACAAAGATATGAATGAACAAGTGGCATGCATTCATTCCTTTTTTTACATTAAGCTATTTTTGGGAAGGAAAGCATATTCATGTGTCCAAAATGTAATTGGTACAAAAGTCTCCTATGATTTTGCAGTAGGCACACTACAGAGTTAATAGTATACCTGTATGGATTGTCATCAGCTATGAAAGGGTCCATATAAAATCACTGAATTTCTGTTCATGTGTTTGCAGCTATGGATACCCAGATCCTGATTATCTCAGCAGAGTTCGAGATGAATTGAAAGTCAAGGGAATTGAATGAGTCAATGAAAGGTTTGCCAACACATGAATGTAGAGCTAAGATGATGTATTAAATTACTTTACTACTGTATGTCTAAAGAGGCATGTACTTTATTAGGCATGTATTTTAAAATGCACACAACATGTAAGGGAATATGTTATAGAGCAGTAGAAAGAATGCTTTGTATATTTAAATGTTTTACTAAATTTTAATATTCTATAAATAATGATACCAAATGACATTGGTCAACCATAGTTTAAGCCTTCCTTGTTATGTTTATAATCATTCTTTATTTATTATGTGTTTTTCTTCCCTTAGATTACTATTTCTTGCCTTATATTGTTTTAATTTTATTTGAAATTACCTTGTTTGAAATGGCTAAATATGGAAAACGTAATATTTAAAAATTAACTGTAAATTCCTTCTGGTGCATTAAATGTTTAAAGTGCCCATGTCATGCTCATTTTGCTCATATCCAGCCATTTAAGGGGGCGTTTGTACTATGATTGGACAACAATGTTGCACCTACATTCCAATGAACACTGATCCTGATGGCTCAATTGCTAGGGCTCTGACTGACTTAAAAGTCTTGTCAGAAGAGATGGCTGAACACTCTGGTATTACTAATTACATTGAGAATTGGTTCACTAAGACTTTTGGCAAGTGGAAAAATGTAGTGATGGTTGCAGCAGTTACACTGCTGACCTTGTGTGGATGTGGCTGCATCCCCTGCATTAGACATCTCTGTCTCAAGTGCATTACCACTGCTATTGATAGTAGGTATCCACAGCCCCCTGCCTACGAATTAGTACAAGCTCCGGCCCCTTGGGTATCCTATCCCCTGATCTCCCTCACTGAGCCCGGTGAGTGAGAGATTGAAGAGCTCCATGGACTGGAGTGAAGACCATGGATCCTACATAAACTAGCTAAAGGTTAATACATACTGACATATAAATACATGTAGGTGGTGTGAACTCATAGGTTGTTGAATGATTTTTGATAATTAGGTTTGGTAAGTATTGCTAATGGTTTATACTTTTCCACAATTGTGTCTGCTCAAATGCTCTTAGTGGCATTGAATCAGCTTACACATACGGCACACATATAGAGGTCACTGCAACGAAGAACCTACTTACATGCTGTTACCCCTCTTGTGTTTTTAGTTCATTTTTCCCTGAAGTACTTAGCTCTGTAGTTTACCCTTGAGGGGGTGGCTTTGGTGGGGGGCCTCTCACCTCTCGAAACGCTAGGTAGCTTCATCTGGGGAAACTGGGACATTGATTTAGTTCGACATGATTTTGGTCTTGTCGAAAGGGGGAATTGTTAGGTATTTTTAGTCAGATTTTGGTTAGACACTTGATGTATTAGAAATGTTTAGATAATGTCATGACATGTTACTAGAAGTCGTGTGAGAATGTTTTTAGCTAAACACTACTTAACAAACAGACACACACACACACACACATTGATTTGCTTTATGTTTTGACTATTGCTATGGCCAGCTGCAAAGCTGGCAACAGAGACGTCATGGTTGACGTTTCTGTGTAGTATGGGGCTAGCCCAACCGAAGAGATATAATGTATAGGCCTGGTGGGTTCAGGGTCTTTCATCTGCCTGCGTGCAGGTTGGAGGTGCAGGATGCCTGAGCGTGTAATGTTAATTTTTGCCTGTGTTCATGGAATAAATCAGCACTGTTTTGTAGTTACTTGGACTGCCTCATCTCTGAGTCAGTATGGTAAAAAGTTCCGGGTACAACAAATGTTTAATCTTGGGTACCTCTAGATTATCTTCGCACTCATCAAAACCCCAATATTCTGTAATTATGTCAGAATGATAAAACCAGAGAAATGACCTGCTCAGTCAGTGTGAGGTTCATGTAATGTGGTATCAGGCAACTTTTATGAGTATGAGTACAATACTAGAGGGCGGTACTGGACCCGATACTGGTATCAGTGCATCCCTGGTATCTGTAATAAAGCAATCTTTCACAAAAAAGCAGCCAAAGTTGTGTTAGACAGTTAAATTTGGAAATAAAATTCATAAAAACGAGGCAATATGAAATAAGAGCAAGGTATATTTCTTTGTGAAAGGCTTTGTTGGCTGTTTTAGAGCACAGATGTCCAACATTTTTAAAGACAGTGCAAATGAACAATGATAGACTTTAGAAAGCTGACAGAACAATAGTGACAAAATGTCCTTTGAATTTGTGCCTGACAGAAATACACAAGTATATACAGCAACATCTGGAATGTGAGCCCATCATCAGTTTCATCTGGATAGACTTGGTATGTTAGATCATCTATCAGATTTTTTTCAAAGTTTAGTAAATACAGTGGATTGATTTAGAGCACCCGCAGGTAACTGCACAGCAAGACTCTATTCTGCACATTAAAGCATAGCTAAAGTTTAGGAAATGCACTTATTTGCCATCAAACTCACACTCATATGAGATATGAATCCAATACAGTGATATGTTCCTGAATTATGTTTAGCCAAGCTCAGTATGGAATCAGGTGGACACCACTAGCCTAGTTCCATTAAACCTTTAAAAAACAAAATAAAAATTCTAACAGTTGGTTAAAACATGGCTGTAACCTCTACAATGAGGACAGGACTTTCATGTTGGTCAAGAAGTAGTCCCAATGTTGCATTTCTCTGTGTTAAATACAAAAAATATATTGAATCAAATATAAAATGTGTATGAGATAGTTTTGGAAATAGCTGGATTTTCTTTTTCATGTTTTGGAGATGCTATGGCAGCAGCTTATGTCTGACCCAGTGTGTTTTAAAGTGAGTAAACACATCCTGGAACTCTCCTCTTAGCTAAAAGCCTTGGAATTGACATAGATGTTAGGATAAATATATTTTACAAAATATTTTGAGTGAATGACTTGAAAGTGCTTTTTTTTCCTAATCCATGTACAACTCTAAAAGGTGAGATCATTTATCCTGCAGTAAGTCTCCTGGACTACATTTAAATTCACTAGTAAGTGTAAACTTAATGTCTATTCGAATTTTGCTAACAAAGGTAGATGACACTGTTTGGGTCTGCTTTCCTGAGTTTGTTCCTGCCATTAAAATATTTAAGTTGGAGCCTCAACTGTCACTTACGCAAAAAGGTGTTTTACCCTGGTAAACTAGAAGAAACATAATCCCAGCCCAGGTTCTCCACCTAAATTTATGTTTCATTATTTAAAAAAAATCTTTTGGTCAAGAAATATTTAAAACAGTATAACTTGTTTTCACTTATGTATATTTATTTTTCCTTCCTTTAACATACATATCAGCTGCATCAATCTTGCATATTTGTAGAATTTAGGAATTATTTCAGCTCTATTTTTACACAGTACCCCAAATAACTGTCCAATGATGTTTACCGTGTTTTGGCTTTTCACTTCTAACTTTTTACAACATTTTCAGTGAGGCTGAGGTCAAAGTAAGTGATAAAGAAAGTCATACAAGTCAGCATTCCATCTTCTCAGGACTGTACACAGCTTCTGTGCATGTCTAGGCTTATTGAATGAATAACCTGCTCTACAGCCTTAGGCAGGAAGGATGGAATGTCAGACAACAGTGGCTATGTGGACTGCACCATCACCTCACACTAAGAAAATCCTCAGTTTGAATCCATCAGGCCTTTCTGTGTGGAGTGCGAATATCTTTTAAGTACCTGTGTGGGTTTCCCCCACAATCCCATCATCTGACCCATACAGAGTGGGCAAACCGTAAACTGCAGATGTGAATGCTTGTCTGTCTCTACTGTAAATGTCAGGCCTGTGATATACTGTCCAGGGTATACACCTCCGTCTGGCCAGGATGGACCTGGGCAGACAACAGGTACACTGTATATCATGAATGGATGGGATGGACTAAGAGGTATTAACCGAGTAAAAACAATGGTGACAGCACACAGTGCTAGGTAGTAAAATGGGTTTTGGATTTGACCACATTAGCTGTCTCCCAGTACTTGACATAAAAGTCTAAGAATGCTGCGACAGCAAATATATTAGATCCATACACAAACCACATTTGGTAGAAAACATCCATTTAAAGATCTGTCAGGATAACCAGCTAACCTTTCACTCCTATTCAGAATCACCGCCCTGTACATGGATTCGTACATGTACATCACAATGGGGTTGTCAGATATGTCAAGCTGCAAGTAATTCCTACCATACCTCTAAGAACCGGTTAGAGAGATAAGCCCAACAGAAGGAACAGAGGATATGAATTGACAGCTTGATTTTGTCCTCAGTCATATCAACACCAACCACTTCATTTCAAGTTTGATAAGCTGAGTTATTATTTTTTAGCAAAAGAGGATACATTAATGACCCATAGGAGAAACAAGGCCATGAAGGATCAACAAGAACAATTATCTGGAAGGAAAAGAAAAGGAGAGAGGGAGAGGAATGAGAAAAAATGACAACCCATTCCAAAAGTACAGGCAGGGGTAAAGAGTCAGTTCACCAGTACACTGGTTCCTACCCCTAAGTACAATGCCACTTAAATGCCACGACTGCTTGCTGTCCACTTTGTGGTAGCCTCATTTGGTGAAGGCAGCTACCACAGCCCATAACAGCTCATTGGTATTGGCCTTCATGCTTTCTCCTTCAGGCTCCAGTTCCAGCAGCTGCCGCACTCTCTTCATAGCCAAATCGTACTGATCATCTAGCAGCGGGGCGAAGGCATTTTCCAGGACATCTGAGGAATGGGCTAAGAAGATGAGTGCAAGCAGCCGCTTGTCCATTCGATGAGGGTCATTCACCCACTTGTCCAATACGGCCTCCTGGACCTTCTTGATGAGGCGCTGTTTGATGTTGCTGTTGGTCAGAGGATGTGTGGTCATATCAAAAAGCAGGAAGTTCTGCTTCTCGGTAGTAAGAACACCTTTTTCTACCAAGTTTTTGGCCAGCCGTTCACGGACGTTCCGCAGTTGATAGTGAAGCTTTAGGGGGTTCCACGTCTCTCCTAAAGACGAGATGAAAAAACAAAGTAAAGTTAATGTGGTCACAAATCGGTTCATCTACATTCAGGGCCTGAAATTCATTTTTCAGAATGTGTATATATATATATATATGTATATATATATATATATATGAAACATGGGTGACTTATAGACTTTGGGGGGAATAATACCTGTGAGCTTAACAGCAGGTTATTACCTAGTCCTATTCTTTCCTGAAATTGCATTTCACCACTACATTACTGTACTTTTTAATTCCACTACATTTATATGATAACTTTAATTAATAGAACAATATACAGTGTAATCATAAGACTTTACTGATCCTCAGTGGGAAATTTTCAAGCTACCCAGCAGTAATTCAAATGATATGCATATAAGGTAGTTAGAATTAGTGCCATCTTGAATAGCTGCAATATTAAAGTAGTGAACACAATAATCATAATGCATCAGTAATTATAACCATTTACTGTTTCATCTCTAATCTGTACTTGAAACATACCTCTGATTTTTGCTTTGTCACACTTAAAATCTGCATGTTAAACAAAGCTGTTTTAACTCTTTTCATCTGACTAATATTTGCATTTCTTCAGATTCAGTAAAAATGCAAACTAGAATGAACAAAAGGGATTTCAAATCAAAATCAGTTATTCGAATGCATATTATCAGCTGTTCTTTCACAGGCAGTCTGTGGGTAAGATTTAAAACTGACCTTTCTACTTTTAATTTCATAATTCACACAAATGGCACTCCTAGCCCATTTAAGATACAACTGTAGACATAAACCTGTAAACAGCATTTGTGATGTGTAGAGGAGCTCAAAATTCAGTTGGGTTTAGATAAACCACCAGTATGTGGGTGAGGGCTGATGAAGCAGCTGAACTCACCACTGAGCAGTTCGATCCAGCTCTGCACAGTCTCCGGTGGTTGGGTATCTTTTATGTGTTTCAAGGCTTCATCCAAGAGCACATCACCTGTTGGAGCATCTGACTTACAAATCACCTGTAGATAACATTCACAGTGATAACAGCCAGTTATGAGTCTAGTTATCAGAGTCACTGAACTAGAAGTAAAATGAACCTTTTCATCATATTCATTGCTGACTTGGGTTCACTGTCACTAATCACTGCTGCTAACAATGACATAATTTGTATATCGAGTATCTTGCAGTTCACTCACTCAACTAAGACTTTCAGCATTAATCAATGTGCCAGTTACTTTTGCAGACTGATTATTTGGCCTATGTGGGACAATTATTGCTTGAATAAAATACAAGACCCTGATATCAGAATGGTTATGGTGCAGTAAAGTGTGTGCACTATGTCGGCGGATTGAGTCTGACCGCCAACCTTTATCGCAGGTTTTCTGTATCAGTTTCAACAGTACAAAGTTTCACATTACTGTGTGAGAGACTAAGATTGGACAGGATTCACATTTACACTTGCACTGATTTTAATGTCATTGTAATACAGAAAAGTGTTTTACAGCACTGCACAGCACAAAGGAAAAAAAATGCAACATGAGAAATGTTTGCTTTTTTAATTTAATCGGGAGGACATATTTACCAGAACAACATACAAAATATATACATGATCCAATTTTTGTTGCTTATTTTCCCCTTAAGTGACAAAGAACTACAGAGAAGAAAAGCGAGATTAAACCCCTTCCCCCACCACCTTCCCAGACACGTGACACCATGCATGAAAGAACAAAAAAGAAAGGAGGGGTAGAATAAAATGGCAGGTAAAATTTATCTGTCCATATGATCATATCCTGTACATTCAACAAACTTGAGGAGTTGACAAAAGAGAGCAAATTGTCCTATCTTCTATAAAATTGTGCAGTAGAACCTCTCAGACTATATTTTTTCCAGCCACAAGAGGGCCAAGAAGGATTAGGGCTTTTCCAGTGCAGTAAGATTGTTCTATGGGCCATTAGAGATGCAAAGGCTTTGTCTGGTTTCATTTTAGTAATCTATGAAGGACCTTAAACTGAATCAGAATAAGCTGTGCACAGGAAGGGGTGGAGCTCAGGCTTTCAAGAGCCTTCTCCTACTGTTCACTTGTGGGATCCAGGCCAAGTTCCTTTTCCCACTCATGTTTAGACTGAATGTGACCAACATTCACACAAGATAATTTATAAAATATGGAGATGAGACCAGGTACAGCGGGGTATGATATAAACCACACATGTCAAACTCAAGGCCCACGGGCCACATCCGGCCTGTGAGATCATTTTATGTATTTTTTTTTTTTTTTAATGGCCCGGCGATATGAAGCACTGATAACACACGACATACGCGAATGTGGCTGTAATTAAGGAATATAGCCTAAGATGGCACTACAAGACAAAACATCAGGACAAGCTGAAAAACGTGAATGCAGAGCAGAAGCTACAGAAGGTAGAGGAGTTGAAGAGGAATCTGACATCACAGCAGACGTTTTCACCAAAGCGAAATCACACAGTGAAGCTGCTGTGAAAGCAAGTTTTATTGCGGCAGAGGAGAAAATCAGCCCGGACATTTACCGAGGGAGAGTTTCTGAAGAGCTGTATGATGAAAGTGTGAGACGTCTTGTGTCCAGACAAAAAGCAGGTGTTTGCAAATGTAAGCCTTAGCAGAAATACAAGTTTAAGTTTATTTATTTTGGAATAATATTGTATCCTGTCTGTTTCGATTCATATTTATGTTCAGAAAACATTTAGTTTTAGTCTGTTCAATAAATGTTTATCCTGTTCAGCCCGCGACCTAAAGTGTGCTTTGAGTTTGGCCCACTGTGCGATTGAGTTTGACACCCCTGATATAAACTTATCCAAAACTGAGTCTTGGGGAAATGTGTTTGCACAAAATGACATACTTGTAGATATCTGAAAGTGTTGGATTTAACAAACATTTGCTTATTACCAGCATTGAAGAAAAAAAAACAATACATGCCCACCTATCTTCCCCGGCTGCCTGTCAGACTCTGCAACAAGAGCCAACATGCAACAGACAAATGGCAAAGAGAAGGAGGCTGAGATCACCAAACTCCATCCACTTCAACAAACCTAGCTGTGCTCCATGCTGGACAAACTGGTCTCTATGTGCAGCCGGCTGTGAGACGAGTGCACAGGGACAATCTCTGGCATGAAGAATGACTCATTCTGATGAAAATTTGTCTGTAGCTTGTCAGCCTTACTAAAAAGTGTCATATGTGTTTTAACAACATTTCACTTATGACTTCGATCGATCCAAGAACTTGGAATCTTTTCAACTTTACCGAGATCTCAGTAGTATCCATCGTCATCACACCCCTTGGGGGCATGTTGTGATTTGCATCCTGGTTAGTGGGCTACCATCCGGAAAAAAATGTACACGCTGTCAAAAATGTGCAAATACTCATTTATTAATATTTGTAAACATTCCCACCCTACTGTAGACACCACAGAATCTCAGTGCACAGCGTTGGTTTAGCATCCATTAGTCACTCTCAGAAGAAGCGACGGCCGTCATATTAGTAGCTTCAGAGGTGCTACAGTAAAAATGTAATTACAAGGCTAATGAAAACCGGCAACGTGCTCGTAATCCAAAGAACTTGTCTATCAAAGCGAATTTCCCCATAAGAAATAATGGAAACTCAGATGATTCGTTCCACAACCACTTATCCACATAAAAATGTTTATACTGTATTTTGTATTGCTGTAAAGTAAAAATTAAACAAATCAACCTGCACTTTACCTTTGAAAAGAATCGTGGCTGGCGTGAGGGGCCATTGTTGCAGTACAGATATTGACTATATGAGTGAGGCGCGAGAACCATCGGCTCAGCTGTGACGTGACACTCGGCAGACAAAGCATACATACTACTTGTATTGCAAGACTTCGCTTGTTTATCAAATCCAAATTTTTGCTCATCTTCCAAAACACTCACAGACCAGGGTACTCGCAAGGTTTTACTGTACTTGGTATTCATGTAGCTGATGTAGCCAGGTTGGCACAGAAATTCATGATCAACAGCTACTGTCTGCATCTCATAGCAAATTTGTGATTAGCACTGTACTTTTGTAACCAAACAGCATTGAAGTCCAGTAGTCTCTGGTGAGCACAATCATATTTGGTCCAACACATCCTCCACTTTAGCTTGATACAAGTTGTGTATCTTGGTCACAGTGGTGGCTCTCGAAGGCAATTCATTGACTCTTTGGATACGATGCAAATTATTTCAAGCAGACCCTTGTCCTCCACAATGTTAACTGACCTGCAAGCTGTAGCCATCCATTTAGCTATCGCTGCTGAAAGTTTGTTGCTTGTAAAGTTGTCCAGGTGTCTCTCTTGCAAACTATCCAAAAACTGAAACATTTTGAGCTTCATAAACACAGATGTTAAGGCAGAAGTGTTGCATTGAAATGCATACAATTGTACAGAATAAAGTGGCTGGTGAGTGTAATTATTAATGTATTATTGTATTCATTACATTTGATGCTGCAGCTGGTAAAGCTGAAGTAAATTTTGATACCCTTATACATAAAATATCAAGTACTTTACATACTGCTGGGTAGCAGTATGTAAAGTACTTGGTTTTGATGCTCATCAGAACAAGTTAGCTTAACTGTGTGTTAAGCTTTATTAGCAGCTCATTGGGCAAAGGACAGAAATCAGTTGTATGGCACACAGTAAACAAGATAAGAGCCAAAATACAGTGCCCTTCTTCTGATACTTTTTTTTTTTTTTTTACT